CACTAAGGGTTGTGTAGAAGATTAAAGCACAGAGATGCCCAGCATGGCACCACACACATAGTAGGGGTCAATAAATGGTGTTTTTTCCCTCCCATCCTTACCAAGCTCTTGCCAGACAAAATATGAAAAGTTTGGTGCAACTATGAAAAAGATGAGCTCGTAGGCCATGGATGGAGTATTCATAAATGCGTGTAGGAGGGGTTTTTAGGCCCGATCGAAACAAAAGGAGTGGAGGGCAGGGCCCCTCTCCATGCAGCAGTGATGAAGAGACAGCCAAGCCACTCCCTACCAGAGGGGGAGGCGGGGGTGATCAAGGTGGCCGTGGCATACACTGGCTTCCTAACCATCATGTGTTGTGTGGGACCTGGAGGAAGCTGAAGCCGAGGGTGAGGATGTTTCTCCTCCGTTGGCGGAGCCAGACAGACGGTGAGGTTCTGGAAATTTTCCGGGTTGCTTTCTCAGATCAAGGGCCTTTGTCATTAAGGACCTCAAGAAGTGAAAGGTCGGATCATCCTAGTGACCGTTCCCAAGCCTGTGCTTCTTCAGGACAAGGCAGGACTTCCGGACGCACTGAACTATAGTCACAGCTTCACCAGAAGTTTCTTCACTTGCTCAAAGGGCCCAAGGGGGAGATCCGAGCTGGGCGGGGGCACCGACCTCGCAGAGGTTCCCTCGAGGCCCGTCACTTCACTCTGCAGGACCACCCCAAGTTCGAGAGCCACAGGCCATTTGGCAGAAATGATTCCCTGGTTCTGATGTGCCTACGTGAGTGGCATTTCTGTGGCTGTCTCCACAGAGCAAACCTAAGGATGTCGCTGAATTTTCAGAATCTGCCCTATTTGCAGAGTCTTGGTGTAACAGTAATTGATAAAGCGCAGTGAACTCTGCCCACCAAAGAAAGCAACGGGCTCCCTCTCCTTTTCACACTTGGGAATTTAACTTTCCAAGTCAGCCTGCAGTTTTTATGATTTTTGTGGTCCAACTCTGCCCGAAGTTTGCCCAAAGATTTCCAGAATACACATTTCTGGAAATTAAATAAGCTCCATTAACAGGCGTATACACCTAAAGTCAAGATGGGAGACGCAGCCTAAAATACACCGCGAGTCCTCAAGTGATACATGCTGTTAACACCACACTGGTCACTGATGAGCATCGGGCCCACTGTTCCTGCGAAATCTTACGCAAATGAAGATAGTTTAGGGCTACTTTTATTTTACGGCTGAAATCCAAAATGCTAAACAACAAGAATATGTTATTCAAAAAATAATGATGCAGCCACACGCATGTGGTTATCAAATTAAATGGTTCACCAGTGAAAAATCTTGGCTAAAAAGGACAAGACTCAGCCTAGCCCAAAGCCATTTGACTATTTGGGTAACGGTGGACACGTCTATTTCCCAATTCCCTCCAAGGAAGAGGGATGCCAATCATTGCCTCCGAGGGCCTCTGGGAGGATCGAATGAGCTGTGTATAAACTGCGTAACACAGCAGCCGGATCATGGTAGGCCCTCAGCAAATACAAGCTCCATCCCCACCTGCACCCCCCCTCCTGCCCTCTCGCCAATGCAGGCTCTACAAGAAGTCAATTGCCACCCCTCTGTTACCTTTTCCTAGGAGTGGAAGCTAGCATGGTGGAGATGTGGTGATAAAACAAGCATTTATTGAACATCTACCATGGGCCAGACATGGTGCTAAGGTATACATCTCATTATCACACTTAATAATAACAACATTAAATTATTATTAACATTATTACCAATGACAACACTATCAGGGAGGTACTAATATAACCCCCATTTTAACGACAGGGAAACTGAGGACAGATAACTAGCCCAAAGTCACATATCCAGGAGGCGGGCAGTGCCAGGATCTGAACCCAGGCAGTCTGGGCTCTTTAACACTGAGCTAAGCTGCCTGGCCCTGAGCGGGGCTGGAGAGAGGTCAAGGATGATGGATGCCTGGCAGGCCAGGCATGGAGAGTGGGAGCCACAGCGGGTACGGCTGTTCCACACCCTCCCAGGCCCAAGCGGGAGGCTATGCGCTTTGGATGCAGGACTCACACAACCCAGCTTTGCAAAACGGCATTCCTTAGTCCTGACTAAAATAACCTTTAGAAACTCACTTCCAAGCCTACCTTCTAAGGTCCTGAACATTAGCAACACTTCTTACAACATCTTGTCTCCTGCCATGTACTCTCCTCCTGGCAGCCAGAATGATCCTTTTAAAAACCAAATTGATGCCACTCTTCTGACCAAAATCCCCAGTGGTTCCCCACCTCCAAGGCCCTAAAGAGCCACATCAGCCTCCTTGCTGTTGCTCCAATATGATACACAAATTCCTGCCCCACGGCCCTGCTCCTACTATTCCCCCACCTACTATTCTCTCTGCCTGAAATGTGCTTCTCGCATGATTGCCTGGCTCAGTTCCTCATCTCCTTCAGATCCTCGTTCAAATGCCACCTTCCTGGGGATGCAATACTCCCTCTGGTTCACTAATCCCCCTCCCTGCTTTCCCCCATAGCACCTTTACCACCTGGCATACCACAGAGTTTATGCATTTATTATGTCTCTCCCACTTCCACTAGAACATCAACTCCATAAGGCCAGGGTTGCTGTCTGCTGTTCATTACTATATATCCAGCACTGGGTCATAGGTCAGACTCTGGCATTAAGCAGGTGCTCAGTAAGCATTTGTGGAATGAATGACCGAGAATGATTTTTCACCTTCCCCCCACCCCAACAATCTCCCTGTCTACTCAGTCCTGATCACTTGGTTAGGCAGCGAACACATGAGTCCCTTAACTTCTTCCACCCCTGGCTTCCTTATCTCCAAATGAGAGCGCTGGAGTAGGTTATCTGCAGAGTCCTTCCAGGCCTGAAAACCTTCAACTGACAACAAAAGGCAACAATTTTTCACCACAGCAAGCCCGTGGCTTCATTTACTTGATTATAAAAACCACGTTTCCTTTAGCATTTTCCACAGCCAAGGCCCCGCAGCCCCCACGCCCCCAGAATAAGTGAGGTTTGGCTGAGCTGTGCTCTGTGACTTGTAACCTGCACACCAGGTCAGCATTAACCTCAAGTGCTGGGATCACTGGTCTTGTAAAATCGACCCAGGTTGGGTTACAAGGAAGTAAACCAAACCACATTCGGTTGTCTCTTAGGGTCAGAAACACCATCTCTCCTTGTCCCCCTCAATTTCACACTAATTCCTGAGCAGCCCATGCTGTTGGTTTTGGGGTTTCGCCAGAGGCCCTCTGGAGAAGTAACAACATGGGGTGTTCTGGGCCAAAAGGAAGGTGCTGGGAGGAAAGTAGACCCTGGTGTGTAAGAGAGCGTGCTGTGGCACGGCTGGGAGCTCAGGGGAAGCCCATGTCAGAGGGTCGCAGGTCCTTCAAGGCCGATCCATCTAGCCTACCTCTGACCCCAGGGAGCCTTGGGGCTTTGTTTCCCCATCTGAAACAGGGACTAAGGGAGTCTAATGCTCCACAAAGTGCCTACAAGTCTCAGCCCCACTTGGCCAATCTAACCCAGGCCAGGGTCAAGTTCACCAGCATCAGCTAAGGCCATCTCTTGATGTTTAAGTCGTAAGTCACTTCTCAGATTGAACGCTGGGTCAACTGTATAACATTACCGCTTTGGTCTTTCAAAGATGCGCTACTAGCTTTAATGACAGAATCAATATAAACTCACGTGTTAGCTCCTTTGGGGTCCTTGCCTTCTTGACAGGCCCCCAGCCTATGGCAGAGCCTTTGGCCCCTAACAGTCTCCGCTAACACCTATTAGCTGATCACTTCATACCAAGAAGTGAGAGGGCACAGTGGTTAAGCATATGCATCGGAGAAGTCAGACCTGGGTGAGCATCCTGGCTGTCCTGCTCACTTCCAACTGGGAAGCCTGAAGCCCAAACACATCTCTGTGCTTCAGCTTCCTCGTCTGTAAAGTGGGAAGAAGAGCACCTCCCACTTAGGGCTGTTATAAAGATCACATGAATTTTTAGTAGTAAGCTGATATATGTAAGTCACATAGTCGGGAGCTGACATGTAAGTGCTGACTCAATGGTAGTCATAATTATTAGAAATTTCTTCAAATGACACAGGACCCTAAGGTTTGGATTGGTCCTTCCTGGGGTATATTCTGGCATCTTGGTAATAATACGGGGCTCCGTGACTGAGTATATTCAAGCCTAGGCTAGTCACGGGGAGCAAAGAGATGGCACGCATGCCACCCACCCGCTCCCCTGACTGGGCAGGCATCTCTAATCTATCTCAGCACTCTTCTCCCTCCCGCTGCAGCCATGGGCTGCTAAGACCCAATACAGAGCTCCAGGCAGCCACTAGGACTATGGGGAAACCCGCCTGCTGTCCCCTGACAACAGGCAGATATGCTGGCGTGGGAGATTCATGCACGAAGGCAAAGACCACTTCTGCGTGAGAATCATGAGAAACGGACAGAGCCTTGTCTGTCCCCTGCTGTAGACCCAGCACTTTGAACAGTGCCTGCCACGCAGCAGACACTCAGATATCCATTGGGTGAATAAATTAGCATCACATACATCTGGGCCCGTAGCACACAGCACTGGGCCTAACCTAGCAGGTGCTCAATGAATGAGGGAGGACGGTGGGATAGGCTTGCTCGAACCTCACTTAAGCTCACTGTTTTTAAGCAGAGAGTGCACTCAGCTTCGGCAGGTTCAAGGCCTCGACACAGCCACTCACTCATCACATGACCCTGAGCAGGACCTTTCCTCCCCAACTTGAGCAGCCAAAGGCCTGTTTAGGATTGAGTCATCCTTGGTTCCAGGCACAGGTGCCCACAGAGGACACCAGGAGGTCTGGAGAGTGCTGCCCACAACAGTACATCCTCCAGGGAAGTACGGGTACTTCTCAGCAAAGGGGCCTGGCCCGGACCATCCATCCTTTTGGGAGGAAGAAAGAGGCAAACCAGGGAGAGGTGGCTGCTAGCGGTGAGGGAGGCGTGGTGAGGTGAGGGCGTACCTACCTGCTTGCCGTGCTTTTCCGTCCAGCCGCACTGGCTCCGTCAGCCTGCAAAAGAAACCCGAACACCTGCATTAGCCAAGGGGGGAGACACAGAATTCTACCCTCTGCCACCCTACCAGGCTGCTGTCCAGCACAGCCTTGGGACACGGGTGAGCTGGCCCTGTCCCCTGCTCCATTCCTTCAGGCTGGAAAACTCTGCCCCCAGTGGTGAGAGGGAGTCAGCACACCCCCAACCCACATTTGCTGGGCCCTTTAAATCCAGCGGAGCACCCATTGCCAACACAAACCCAGCAACCACAGAACCCTGGGGACTCGGTGAAAAGTAAGTAACCAGCTAAATCTGAGATTGAATTGCACCGTTTTTATTTTCAGCTGGGATTTCCAATAAAACAGTAGCCGCAGATTTATTCCCACCAACCGGAGGGGGGAAATTCATTTATGTTAAAATATTCTGTCCCCCAACCCTCTGAGCAGGGGGAGGCAAGAGAGTGCTGGTTCCTAATCTCTTTATTTGGGGGCGGGGGTGGGTGGGGAAATAAGGCTGACCAAATTAAATTTTCAGAAATCATAAAATTTCCGATGGAGAGGCTGAGGCCCTGGGGGAGGAGGAAGCTGCCTGCAGTCTCATGAGGACTGAGGGACAGAGACCTGGGGATCCTGAATCCCAGGCCAGTGCTGGGGGGACCGCGATGCGGAGGCCACAGACATGGGAGAAGGCCCAGGTTCCCCACCACCCCTGGTTGAAGAAGCAGCCCCTAGCTTTGTGCCAACGTTTAAAATAATGTAGCTTCAAAATGCTGGCACCCATGTGTTCCCAGATTCAGAATCCTTCCAAGTTTAGAAAGGTGATGTTGCCATGTGTGTTCTGCATTTGGAAACAACCCTGGCGGGGTCTGGGGAGCCCCCAGGACTCAAGCACATTGATGTTCCTACAGAGAAACTCACACCGCTAGCCCCACTGGGGTAGATGAAGAGGGCAACTAGCCTGTTCTCCGAGGTCAAGTCCTGCCACTTCATCAGCGACAAAAAAACCTGTCTTGTTTTCAAACTTTTCGCATTTCAGGATTGTGGATGAAGGATTGGTGACCTAAAATAAACACAGCAGCCGCTGCCTATTGATGAGTGCTTATGGGAAGTTGCAAACTGGCAAAACCAGATGGCGGACTTCAATCCAAAGTGTAAATATATAAAAGTAAAGGCATTTCATCCCCCCCCCCCCCCCCCCACACACACACAAAGGCCACATTTCAGCTTCTCTTTAAAAACCAGTTAATCCAGCAACACAGTCCCCACATGGCCATAGTCAGCTACAGCTGACATACCTCCTTCTACCCTTCCCTCTCGCCTCTTACACAGTCCTCCAGCCTGGCCCCTGTGGGCAACCAGACTCTCTCCCCCTGGAGAACTTCCCAGCAGGTGCTAGTGTACGACATTAAATGCTGCTTATTTAATCCTCTCAATAGGTCCCCCAACACACATACACAATATTCCCATTTTACGGGTTCCGCACAGAGGGTCCTTCAGCCACTTATCCAACACCCATGGCTACAAGCCCAGGTCTGGGTGACTCCAGCGCCTACCTTCTCAGCTCTGTAATATTTTATTGTCCACCAACATCCAGGAGAGCTAATGGAGAAATGGGGTGAGCCCACACCACCCCGACTGTCCACAGGAGGGAAGTAGAAAGGGGAAGGACAAATGGGGAGGCAGAAGCATGAGGCCTGGGCAGGAGAAATTAATGGGATGCCAGTGTATTATTTCAGTAGAAGAACCAAAGCAGAAAATGGCTTGCATATCATTTCACTGGGAGCAGAAGAACAGGATCAATTACAGCCTCTCTCCGACACTGCATTCCTCAAAACTTGTCTGTAAAGCAGCGGGAAGACGTTGTTTTCACGTCCCTATCGTAAGAGGCAGAAGTGGCAGGGGGTGGGAATTCTGTCCCAGAGAGCCTAAAAAAAAACAGTACAATCCCAAATGACCTCTCGCCTTCCAGACTCAACTCTGGCCTTCGATTTCTAGCATTTCATACATATTTTTAATGTTGTCTCTTGTTCCTTTCCTTCATAACAGAGTTGACTAGTTCCAATACAGGGAACGTGGCTGGGTACGAGAGAAGATTCTGGTTTTTGCACACCTGATCATCCCCAGCTACCTTGCCCTTCTATGATGCTTATGATACTGGAGCTTTGTATCACTGCTAGCAACACTCATTTTTGTTTTCCACCCATTTTTATAAAATAAAGACAAAGTGCGAATAAAAATGTTCAAATAGTTGTCTAAACAAATCCCTTTGCAGAGACTAAGGTGGTGGCACAAGGGAAAACAAACCGATGGAGGAGGAGTGCTATCTTGGCAGGAGTAGAGCTGATGGACAATGGGCTCAAGTCAGAACTGTCGAAAATGGCACCTGTCAATCACAGCAGCTGTCAATCACAGCAGCTGTCAATCACAGCATGCGGGCCTGCGTCTAGACCAGGGGTGGGCAAACTTTTTGACTCGAGGGACACAATGGGTTCTTAAACTGGACCGGAGGGCCGGAACAAAAGCATGGATGGAGTGTTTGTGTGAACTAATATAAACTCAAAGTAAACATCATTACATAAAAGGGTACGGTCTTTTTTTTTTTAGTTTTATTCATTTCAAACAGGCCGGATCTGGCCCGCGGGCCGTAGTTTGCCCACAGCTGGTCTAGACCCACCATAATGACAAGGACGACCCCTCCCAGCCCCAGTTGAAGCCCGCAGTGCTAAAGGTGCCAACGCTCAGTGGTAGAGCTCCCTAAGAGGCCAGGCCAGCTTGCTGTGTGTCCTCACCAATCAATACATCATAGCGACCCCTACTGTTCGAATCAGTTGCACCGCTGACACTGCCATTTTCCTAGGCCCCAAGATTCTAATACCAGCACATTCATGTGACCCAACCTGAACCACAAACTCAGGGTAATCTGACTTGATCTCAATTTGAAGTTTAAGAGGACAGGGTTTGCCGAAACCGGTTTGGCTCAGTGGATAGAGCATCGGCCTGCGGACTGAAGGGTCCCAGGTTCGATTCTGGTCAAGGGCATGTACCTGGGTTGCGGGCACATCCCCAGTAGGAGATGTGCAGGAGGCAGCTGATCAATGTTTCTCTCATCATCGATGTTTCTAACTCTCTATCTCTCTCCCTTCCTCTCTGTAAAAAATCAATAAAATATATTTTTTTTAAAAAAAGAGGACAGGGTTTAGACTCAGGCAGTCTGCATTCAAGTCCTGGTTCTGCCATTTCCTAGCTGTATGCTCCTAGGCAAGGTTCCTCATCTGCAAAACGGCAATACTGTAATCCCAGGACCTCCATCATGGGGCTGGCATGAGACTTAAAACAAGGTAACTTACACAGAGTAGCACAGGTAAACGTACTTAGCAGGGCTCAGCTGCAGAGCTGGCCCTGGGCAGCACCAGGGGTCTCCCCGGCCTGTCTCAGGCCTGATCTGAATCCCAGGCTGCAAGTCAGCATCTCATGAGCTTCCACCTAACCCCCCACCACTGAACACGGCGGTGCAGATAGAGTACGAAGCGCAGGCCAGGCATGTGCTGCAATCGCTTAAGTAATGGAACCTCTACTGCTGTCGCCACTACTACTGGGCCATGTGCTCCTAGAGGATATGCAGCTTCCTGCCCAGGCTCTGTCTGGGTCTCCCTTTGAACCTTGGACAAGCTTTCCTTTCCCTGGACCTGAGCTTGCCCATAGGCAAGAACGGGAGCAGGAGCAGGAGAGCTAAGTCAGGTCATCTCCACCCTCTACGTTCATCTCTGTCTTCTATGTGGAGTTGACCCAACCTTACCCAACCCCTCGATGGCAAATGAAATGTGCTGGGGACAGTGGGCCATGAGAGACCCTCCTGCTCACTCTCTCAGAGGTGGGGGTAAAGACAGCCAGACACCCTCAGCTCCCCATCAGGGTACCTAGCCCCATCCATTCCTTATATACTGGCTTCTCCTTAGAACCTGAGCAAGGCTATTTTTGGTTCCATTCAACCCTCCTCTTCCCTCCCCAAATGAATGTTAAGTTGCTCTTTTCCATTCTCTTATTAAGGATTTTCTTGGAAAGAAAATATTATTCCAAACCCAGAAATTTTATTTCTAAATTTGTGCAAATGTAAGTTGTAATACATTAGCTGCATTTCACATTTTGTGCAAATGGCAGAAACAGGCAATTCGTGTGCTACGGGATGGGGGCTGGCCAACGATTTCGATAAAATAAACCCTTTTTTAATTTAAATGCTAATGCACTGAATTAAAATTTAATAACTGAGGAAATTGAAAAGCCGAGCAGGAATATTGGAAATAAATCCAAGCAGAAACAGCTGAAATTAAAAATTCTAGAGAGTGGGAGGATAGCAGCTAAGCTGTCTTATATGATTACATTTTTTTTTTTTTTTTTCAGAATGAAGCAAAAAAAAAAAAAAATCCTATCTCTCGCTGGCTCTGGGGCAGTAAATCCACAGTGCTGTGATTTATTGCTCAATTTTCCTGAGGGAAAAAGGCTTTCTTTCATGCTGAAATATTTCATAAATTTCAAGCCAGCATAAATTCTTAATTTAAAAGTTATGGAGGTCACATTTAGTGCACTGGTACGGTTCCAAAATCTTAAAGGAATAGAGCAACCAAAAAAAAAAAAAGCAAATAGGAGGGGCAGAATTTGCTTTTTTTTTCTCCTCCCCCTTTTTGGTTTTAATTCACAAGTTGAAATTTCATTATTAAAGATTCCTCCTGGATGGATGAAACCCAAGCACGTGGGGACCTGGTGTGTATTTGGAAATCTGCCGCACAAGATGAAGAGATAAAGATTTAATTCAATTATAAAAAGGCTTTTTTTTCCCCCCTTTAAGCCACTTGAGGAATTTCTGGTAAAAATTTCCTCCCTTCACTGCCCCGGAAGGGGTGAGGGTGGGGGAGGGTGGCCAATGTAATGGCTTCTCTTAGATCTCCAATCTTTTGTGCACACTGATATATTCATTTGTTATACAGCTGTTCAGCGGCGGAAAGAATGCTGGGGCGCCCATA